ATATTTTTTTCTCGATCTTTTCATTTTCTCCCACTCTGAAAACCTTCTAACCACGATTTTGAGAGTTTTTATCGTGGAAAATCTGAAAACGGCCGGAGAAAAATCGAATCAGTACGGTGACAAGTGTTCTGGCCGACGAAAATGCGCGCCAGCCCGTCCGATGGCCGACGATTCCGACCGTACGGTCGACCAAAATTGTTTTTTCGATTTTTTCATTTCCACCCACTCTGACAACCTTGTAACCACGATTTACGAGGCTCGGGCGTGGAAAATCGGGAAACGACCGACCGAAAATCGAATCCGTACCGGTGAAATGCGTTTTGGCCGAGAAATCATGCGCGCCAGTCCGTCCGATGGCCGACGGTTCCGACCGTACGGTCGACCAAATATTTTTTTCTCGATTTTTTCATTTGGCCACTCTGAAACCTTCCAACCACGATTTTGAGGTCGGTGGAAAATCGGGAAACGACCGACCGAAAATCGAATCCGACCGGTGAAATGCGTTTTGGCCGAGAAATCATGCACGCCAGTCCGTCCGATGGCCGACGGTTCCGACCGTACGGTCGACCAAATATTTTTTTCTCGATCTTTTCAGTTCTGGCCACTCTGGAAACCTTCCAATCACGATTTTGGCAGGTTTGAATGTGGAAACTCGACAAATGATCGACCATTTTTCAAATCCGAACGGTCCCTTAGTTTTTCTCCGCCGAGAGAACCATGCCCGCCAGTCAACGGACGGTGGTGCACCACCGATCCCACGATCGCAACCCTTCCCATCCCGCTGTACGACCCATCCCAAGACCAGCCCATTAAGGAAAGGCATAAATCGTAATATGTCCAAAAGTGTGTTTATGAGTTGTAATTTTTTAAAAGCCACTTAAGGAAAGCTTGTTCTTCATCCTTCCTTCCTCCCTTCCTCCCCACGTCCTGAAATAGGATAGTGAATGGGATCTGCCGAATTTCAAAAGGCGTTAACTTTTGCTAGAGTTATCCGTTTCTGGATTTTTTTTTTTTGATCCGCTCGATTTTTCGAGGCCTAGGGTGGGCGGCTGCGCAGCGGCCGTCGGCCTCTTTTTGCCATTCGGATTTTTATTTGTGTGTTTTTGGCCATTTTTATGTTTTAAGTGGCGATTTCATGTACCATTCTCTCATGAATTGGGGATTTGAACACATCAGTGTTCTTATATATTTCTATAGTTTCATGCCCATGTGATCGGATCTCCATATACTCGACTATTTTTATGTCCACGGATTGCTTTGTGTAACTCTTAAGTTTGAGCATCTACGTAGGTTTGTGGTTTATTACTACGTTCCTTAGTCACGCAACCCGAGTTCGACTCCACCGGTCTTGCATCCCCTTTCTTATTTTTAGCTCTTTTGTATTCTTCAACTCATTCTCAAATTTCCCCGTTTTCTCTGTTTCCACGGCCGATGCATGCATAGAATCGTCCCGGCCAGGCCGGGCCACGGACTTCATGCATTCCAAAATTTTCACTCGAAATTTTTTTAAGTGTAGAGAATACATGTATATGATCAAAAAATAAAACTAAACTTTAAACTTTCTTTTTTTTGTTTCATGACCTTATTGCAAGCCCTTCGCATTTTAGAGGTAAGCTAAGCTAATTTCACATCTCCTTTAAATTGCATATCCCACCAACATTTTAATCTCATGTATCTTTACTTATGTGGTTTTAATATTTTGTTACCCAACGTAGGTACGTTCTGCTTATTGTAAGAATGATTTTGAATGGGAGAATTTGAAGCGTCTCGCCTTCAAGGTACTGTACTATTGTCTTCTCTCCGTACTCTATCTCTCTGTATAAATGAGTGTAAGTTTGTAATAGTTGACGCTTCTCTAATCTCTATGACTGTAAAAAATGCAGAATGTGGATGGACACAACACAAAACTCATGCGTGAATACGTCTTAGAGACTAGCCATGTCGAAACTGATCCCGATAAGTGAAAAAGCTCTCATCTCTTCATATAACATTCATATATTACATAGTCTCGAGAGTATATACACATGAAACCGTTTGTACATATATACATATATACCATTGCGCTTGTGTTAATCTCAGTTTTTGTCTTCGTATCTTAATTCTAAAACCCTTTTCTTTTGAGAATGACCAAATCAAGAACCGAGAGAACCCAAAAATACATTTGTCACCATTTAGTTGGTTCAAATTTAATTTTATGATTAAAATTTAATTAAATTAAAATAGTATTTATTTTTTTGGTTTGAGAAACCCAGGGGTTCTCATGGAGATGCTCTCTTGGTCTCATGTTTTTATGTTTAGATATCTTTTTATGTTTTTTTTCTTCTTCTCGCAAAATCAGTTGTATTCTAAACGATGCCCCATTTAAGGAGAAAGAAGAAGAATAAAAGTAAAGAGGGGAAATGTGTTCTTTGATGAAAATTTCAAAATTAGATTATATACCAAACTTGTTGACCAGAAAAAAAAAAAAGATTATATCTCAAATGTCTTTTTATTTTATTTGTTTGAACAACACCTCTCTTTGTCTAATTAATTAGAGTGTGCATCTAAACAAAATAATTCCTAAAACGCGATTAATATTTAATTCATCAAGTATCCATTGCAAGGACAAAAACAATTTGGGTATCCACTGTTTATCCACCACCAACTATCCACTTATATTCCAACTTGGGCGTTTCAGCACCATGTGAGAAATAAATCCCATCTTCTCTACAATCCCAAAAGTTCTTTACACCGAAACGAAGACCACTAGTTTGTACGCCAATATTTGCTGTGAGGAGCTTTTTCATTTTTCTTGATTAATCTCGATGTGAGCTTTCTTTCTTTTTTTTTTTTTTTTTTTTTTTTTTTGTTAGGTATGATATAAAAATAAAAGGTGGTAATTTATACTACCAGGTCAAGTTCATGCATTTAATTTTGCTTCTATATTTAGATTTTTACTAAAAGAATAACGTACGTTTTTTCATTTTTTTTTTGGACCGAACGAAGAATAACGTTCCTCGAAAATTTCAATTTTATTGGTAAGTTTCGAAAAAGAAAAGAAAATTCAGCGTTCAACTTTTACGTTTATAATTTTGCTTTAATGAAGTGGTTGTATTTTCTTTCCGATGCAATGCAAGCAGCCAAGCACATAACGTAACGTAACGACGTATGTAAATAAGCTTTGTTTTTGTTAGCAATAAATAAACCACAAACACATTTTAACGTATCAACAAAACCATTATATCTTTTATATATAGCCAAGATAGTACAGTAAGTTTTAACATAGTCTCGAGAGTACATACACATGAAACCGTTTCTACATACATACATAAATATATACCATTGACCATTGTGCGAGTGTTTATCTCAGTTTTGAGAATCAGGACCAAATCAAGAACCGAACCAATTTTTTAAAATAGATCAAAACCAATCTTCTCTCCGGAGTTACTTCTTAGAGACGGGAATGGATACCAGGAGAGGCATGGATTTTGCCCGACCCGAAATACGATTGAGCATAGTCTTCGATATTCTCTAACCTGTCATCAATCAGATCCAAGAAGTAGTTTAGAGCCAACAAAAACGAAAGCTTTGGTAGTATTCATAATAACTTCAAATATCAAAAGTTTAGTTTACCTATAGACATAGTTTACCATAATGCCTCCACTTTGATGAATCCCTTTCTCCGACCGATCCGCCATCCAATTTATTCTTTCAACCATCTATCAACACAAACATAAAAGCTTTATCAATATGAATCACTCTGTTTTGTCTGTAACACTATACGCATTCACTGGACTTACTGCTCCATTTTGCAAGTGGAAGTTAGCAACAGAGTCTAAAGCTTTCCCTCTCTTCTTCTCTTGCAAGAGGTACCTATGAAAAATTTAACACAAAACATTAGAGTTTTATGCATAAATGATTCATTCATAAGAAGTTAACCATAAGATTATCCAAGAATGAACATACCTAGCACATAACCGCATGAGAATAGGTTCCAAAACTGGCAACATGCGAGGCGAAGTAGCCCAATTGCTGTTCTTTGCCGATAGCAAATTCATCAGAACTTCCATGCCGTTGCTACCGAAAGAAGAATCACTGTGTAAACAAGATCCTGAGTTGATGATGCTTTGATCTTGATTTTTGTGTAAAATTCATAAAAAGATTAAGATTTTTTCTTACTCTGATAGACTCATGAGAGCTTGTTCCTCATCTGGTAGTAATACTCTCTCGCTGAAAGTAGATGAAGGTGAATTGCTCTGTGTGCTACCACTGTGATCATCTCCAGCAAATCTTGACTGAGATGATAACTTCGAAAGGAGCCATTTCATGAATCCAGGAATGGGGCTGAGTGTTGCAAATGTCTGCAACCAAACAGCACAATTTTGTTGAGCAAATTCTCTTTTTCTGGTAACATACATTGCATACAAATTAGTCAAAGTACTCACAGAAACATGTGGCATGTCTTTCTTCACCAACGTAATCACTCGTTTGATCAGAAACTTCCCAAGGTTTATCCCAGCCAAGCCAGGCTTCAAACACATAAGACAGCAGTCAAGAACAAAAAAGTATCAATGAGAACAAAATGCAGATATTCAAGAAGAGTGTGTACATACCTGAGTTGAAGAAATAGAGTAAAACAAAGCGGATGTTGCTTGGTTCTCTGGTATGGGAGGATTGTCCCACAAAACTTCCTGCAGCGGCAAATGAAACTTTTTAGTTACATAGCTACAGAATCCAAACTACGCTGCATAGGATCAAGATTAGTTTGACCTGAATAGTCTGAGCAACGGTTTCCATAAGAGCAACTTCGATAAAAATAAGTGGCTCACCTGAAAAAAGTACCAGCGCAAGATTGTCAAAGAATGCATTCAACTTATACAATCAAAGAAACATTGTAACCAAAGCAACTAACTAACCAGGAATAGATGGATGAAAGTATCCAAAGCATCGACGACCTATCCCTAATCTTCTTTTAAGATCCAAGAGGTTGCTTATAGGATGCACCGCCTTATGAATAAAAACGTTATCAGAACTGTTTAAACCATACTGTAAATGGGAAGATATACTAATGCAATACCTCATACGCGACGATTTTCTCAAGCAATGAAGCAGGATCATCCCAAGTGATTTGATGAAGCTCTAGAGTGGCAGGACTAAGCCACATGCCGAGTTTCTCCTTAAGATATGACTCTAATGTTCGAAGAGACGGCGAGTTTTCTTTTCTACACATTAGAAACAACAACCATCAATGGCAGATTCAACAAGAAAGATCATTCACATAAACAAGAAGATGGGAATTGCATTACGTGAGAATCGAAAGAAGATCAGCGCGGAGGATGGACAAGAATCTCAACCCTCCTGGATGTGTATTCAACCTCTCAAAGAGAGTTTCATAAGTTGGCTTGAGAGCATGTCTCAGATTCCACTCAATGCGATAGAAAACAGAAGACAAAGCCTCCTTCTTCG